GCAGGTGAGCCTTTGGGGCCTCCAAACATGGCTGTGCAGGGTCAGGACAAGAGACCTGCTTGGATCAGAATGTCCATGTATTAAAAACAGTGCATTTTCAAGGGCATAGCATGTATACCCTCAAAAATGCTACACCCCATGCAGTGTTCTGATGCTGAACTCAAATCCACAAGCTGGGCAGTGGAGAACTGTAGTTTACCTTTTGAGTTAAGAGACGAGAATTCCAAAATGTCTGCTTTAGTGTCTGCTTTAGAGCTTATCACCCCAATAAACCCATCCCCTAAACAGTGAATTGGTGATGTATGGAATAATTTGAAAATATTATGAGAAGAAGTCTCCAGGCACAAAATAAATTAAAATTGTTACTTTGAAGTAAACAGAATTATAACAAAAATGATCAACAATAAAAAAACGTGAAAGTGGAGAAAGATGATTTTGCATCTCACTCAACTCAACTGCTCCTCCTAGTGCAGTAACAGTGCTCTTACCTTCTCACATTTCTAAACAGGCAAAGACATTTAAAGCTCTAGCTTACTTTGCAAAATATTATTATGTGAGAAAAATTTAGATCAACTTAGAACATTAGGGAGAATAGAAAAGTGGGTCTTTTAGTTTCTTGTGAAGTCTCTGACTTAAATCTCAATAGGACACATCAGCTATAATGACAAGAAAAATACAGTAGAGCACCACCAACGCAGTGTGAAAGTTATGTTATTCCTCTAAATATTATTTTAAATACATTATGTTTTATGCATATGTAACACAACTATCTAGTAAGTCACCTTTAAAATGTCTTGGAAGTTAAACATCGAATCAGATAAAATGCTCAAGGAAAGTTCAAGAACACAAAGTTGGGCAACATTTCTAAATCTTTTAAATTAGAGTTTGTGACTCTGCTGGTACATTAAACTGTAGCAGGTAAGAGTTTTCCTCTCTATTTTTGTGTTCACAGAAAGGTAGCTTTAAGTGCCTCTGTACTTACTACACATTTTAAAATATGAATTTTTGGAAGTTCTTAGGAGAAATCCAGTGTTACACAACTAACTTTTTAAGCAGAAGCATAGCATATGTGGGAACAAGCAGGAAATGGTTAACCGGTGCCTATTCAAGTCTGTAGATGTGCTTTTTGTTACCAGCCACCAGTGGTCTTTTTCAGATCTGTCTTCTGTGACTTAGTGGTTTATCCTTAGCTCTCGTTTTAATACTTTCAAACCTCCGAAATCGTTCAGCTGTTTAAAAGTTCCAAAACAAGCAAATGTGTTACTGGAATCTTACCCTTAACTTTGCTGGAGAGAATATACTAAGGCTTATTCTCCAGCCAAAATAATAAAAGATCTTTTAAGTGGCTAAAATTCTTGGTTGATTGCACATACATGTCAATGTCAGACAACTATAAATAGAGAGATTTGGAGGAGAAATAGGGAGAGTAAAACTGCAACAAAATAAAATGGAATGTTTTGAAGGCAGTCAGAAAACAGTACATGTTTTTATAAAATTAAGATTTGTCTCCCTTTAATCCACAATCCCCTTTGTGTAGAAAGAGCCCACATGGATCATATACTTCCAGTATGAGGGAATAAAAGGACTTTGTTTTCTTCATTAATATATATATTATTCTCAAACAGTTAATTAAGATTTCTTCTTTCTGTTATTCTTTTGAATTTGGATATCTGTTAGATTTTATGATATTTTCCCCAATCACTGCTTTGTTTTCCTAGAATAAGAAAAAATCTTTCAAAGGAAGAAATTGTGCCCATGATTACTGATATAAATGAAGTCAGCAGGGAATTGCCTGAGTGTTACCTAGGGCAGGGCTGGCCCCAAAATAAACTGGGTCATTTGTTATAGCTATTCAAAGAAACTTAAGGATTCATTTCTCAAGAAATTCTTACTCTCTTAGGCAGGTTAACATGTCCACTAGCTTCAATACCTAGGTTAATACATATTTTTAAAAACATTGTTACTTAATTTTGAACAGTGACCTACTTTTTATATTAACACCTATCTTGTATTGAGCCATCTAAATTGAATTCAAATTAGTTCTTGAAAATTAGTTCAATTTATTTTAAACCTGTTACCACTGTACAAGAGAATTTAACAGTTGCTTCAGTTTAGTAATTGTGCTATAGACAAGCAAATTAGTTGGCAATGGAGAAAACCATCACTTGTGTAATAGTCTTTTAATGTAGTTCTTTTGAATTCTGATCTCACTCCTTAAGTGAGAGAGGCTGGAATGTTGATGATGGTTGCAAGGACCATTTGGAGGAAGAATCAATAATATAATTAACATCTCTGCATCTTAGTTCTCCTTAATTGCATTGGTTTGAATTGGCTAGAGGCTACAGCTTGGCTCTAAAGATCCAGCACTTAATACTGAAATACCAGAAAGTAGCATTTTAATAATATTTTTCATAATGATTTTATTACTTAGTGTTTCTAAAATAAACCCTTAAGGCAAGACTTACAAGGACGTAAAAATAGCATGGTTCTCAGCAACCAAAAGAATGGGAAAAAATTTTTGCAATCTACACATCTGACAAAGAGCTAATATCCAGAATCTACAAAGAACTGAAACAGATTTACAAGAAAAAAACAAACCCATCCAAAAGTGGGCGAAAGATATGAACAGATACTTTTCAAAAAAAGACATATATGAAGCCAACAAACATGAAAAAATGCTCATCATCACTGGTCATTAGAGAAATGCAAATCAAAATCACAATAAGATACCATCTCATGCCAGTTAGAATGGCTATCACTAAAAATCTGGAGACAACAGGTGCTGGAGAGGATGCGGAGAAATAGGATCACTTTTACACTGTTGGTAGGAGTGTAAATTAGTTCAACCATTGTAGAAGACAATGTGGTGATTCCTCAAGGACCTAGACATAGAAATTCCATTTAACCCAGCAATCCCATTACTGGGAATATACCCAAAGGACTATAAATTGTTCTATTATAAAGACACATGCACATGCATGTTCATCGTGGCACTGTTTACAATAGCACAGACATGGAACCAACCCAAATGCCCATCAATGATAGACTGGACAAGGAAAATGTGGCACATATACACCATGGAATACTATGTAGCCATCAAAAACTATGAGTTTGTGTCCTTTGTAGGGACATGGATAAACCTGGAAACCATCATTCTTAGCAAACTGACACAAGAACAGAAAATCAGACACTGCATGTTCTCACTCATAGGCAGGTGTTGAACAATGAGAACACTTGGACACAAAGAAGGGAGCATCACACTGGGGTCTGTTGTGGGGGCTATGGGAGAGACAGTGGGAGGGAGGGTGGGGAAGAGATAATGTGCAGAGAAATATGAGGTAAGGTGATGGGGGGATGGTGGCAACAAACCACATTGCCATGAGTGTACCTATGCAACAATCTTGCATGATCTGCACACATACCCCAGAATCTAAAGTGCAATAAAAGAAATAGTATGGTTCTAAACAAGCCATGTTCATAATTTTAAAATATTACCTCAAGGTCAGCTTTTATCATTTTCCTCAAAATATTTAAAAAGTAATCTAAGGGTGGGACTCACCCTTAGATTAGTTTATTAAATGCCTTTGAATTCATTCTAACGATAAATTCTGTAACTCTGTAATTCTAATCACCTGTTCTCCAGAAATGCTGCTATGCTATGTCTGACTTGTCAGATATTCTTGTTACTTTAAATATAGGTTTAGAGATTCAATGACTTTATCAAGAATTGTTTCATAAAGTGGTTATCTGGTTGGATAGGAATGATGTCTTATTCCTATGAGAGAAGAATGTGTTTGATCATTCAATTAAGGTAGGAACTGTCTTCTGTATATATTATCTGGTGTATAAAAGCACTTAATTAAAATATGTTAGACCAGTGATCAGAAAATGGGGAGGCAGAGATGAGGAGCATGCACAGAAAGCTCCCAGCAGAGGGAATGCTTCCCAGGGGAGCCTTGAGGGTAAGAACTGGCTCTTCAAATGGCACATGCAAACCCCCATGTTTGACAGAAATGATTATACCAATGTGTTCTTCGAGGTACAAATTTAAGAAAAATAAATGGCCAAATCCCTAAAGTAAACTACTGCAGAATTTAATGTATTCATTTCATGAGTTCCTTGCCATTTGTTGTCTACCGTATCCACTGAGAGCACGGATTAGCAGCATTTTAATTTGAAAAAGTTTTTTCTCATTTTTTTCATAACTGATAGTGTCCAAAATTAAACATGTAATAACAGTGAAAAATGTGAGTATGACACTAAATTCCAAATGGACAAAATTTTATGATACAGTTTATTTAGTCAAAGCAGTTCTAGTTACCTTTCCCCCAGCATAATGCTTGAAACGACACTGCTGTGCTCACAAGCAAACAGGAATGACTAAATAACTTTCCAACTTCTAATGATTTTCTAACACATTGGCTTGCAATAAAAGTCTCCTGAATAACTAAAAAATCCAGATCTTCAGATTTTGTGAAATTTCAAAAGCAATAAATAAAACTAAGTAAGGTCAGATGAGAGAACAGATGTGAAATAAATGGAGTACACATACTCGAAGTCATAAATGCATTTAGCTTCCCAATAAGGCTTAAGGGAAAAATATCCAAAGTGAAAAAATCTGAAAGATCAACTTTATCTAGCTCAAAAGTGGTCATCAACATCATTTATATTAGAAAGTCAGTCACTTTTCTAAATGCTGTTTTGCTGATACAAAAATATTTCTTGGAATTTAGCTGCAAGAAGATTGACCACAAGGCAATTTAGGATTTGCAGTTCTGAAGAAATGCCACATTACTCTAGGAACTCAAACTTACACAGTGTTGGCTCAGGCTGAACATGGTAGCTAGCACAGAGTTAAGGCTTAATAGCAGTTTAATGGTTAAATGAGTGAATAAATAGACAGCAGGATGAATGAACAATGCTATGAGAAACGTATAAGGAGAGTTGTAAATATTGAAAGAGAGAAAAAGAGAATGAGCACAATCTTTTTAAAGACTTACTTATTCCACGCTTGTCTAAGGTTTTTAGAGCTGTACAGGGTAAAGCGTTCTGAAATAAAAAAGAAAAATGATAAACAATCTTTGTATCAAATGTATATATTGCAAGTATGTTGAAAAAAACTCAACTTTTAAAAAAGACAGTGTGCTATTCAGTCAGTTAGGCCAGCAAAGTCTTCACTTTTATACTGGGCAGTTATAAAGAGTAAAACAGGAAGATTACAACATATTAAACAGTGAAGCATTGTTTTCTTTTGTCTAAGATGGTTTATTTCATAATTTTGTTTCCTAGTAACTATTTCTTAGAATAACTTAATTGAGCTGAAAAAAGAAATGGAAAATCCAAACCTCCAACCTGTAAGTAGATTTATAGAAATATATCAACACATTACATCAAGTGAGACTTGCTGTTTTTTCCTATGATGATTTCTCTGACCAAATACAGTAATGTTGGGTCTCCTTTCCTATGTTGGATGGTATTTATAAATGTTCAAAACCAAACTACCAAGGTCTTATACTGTATATTTACATTTATCAGTGAACAATCTTTAGATTTGTTTTAGCTTAAAAAGGAACATTTGTTTTACCAAGTTAAACAATAAAGTGATATAGAATAGACATTATAATCTCTTCACCTGCTCATTCTTTCACTCCTGATGAAATAGCATTTGTTATTTGATATGTCTGTTTTCACATTTTTGTTTATTTCAGAAACAAAAAATACTTCAACTACACCCATCCTTATGTACAAACATATATACCATTAATTTTTTGAATGGATTGTATACAAAACATTATTCTTGAAATCTTTTTGGCATTTAATAATATATACTGGATAGTCCTTCAAATAAAAAAATATGTAACTTTTTTTTTTTTGAAACAGAGTCTTGCTCTGTTTCCCAGGTTGGAGTGCAGCGGTGCAATCTTGGCTCACTGAAGCCTCCGTCTTCTGGGTTCAAGTGATTCTCCTGCCTCAGCCTCCTGAGTAGCTGGGATTACAGGCACACACCATCATGCCCAGCTAATTTTTTAATTTTTAGTAGAGATGGGGTGTCACCACGTTGGCCAGGCTGCTCTTGAACTCCTGACCTCAGGTGATCCACCTGTCTTGGCCTCCTAAAGTGCTAGGATTACAGGCGTGAGCCACTGTGCCCAGTCTGTAATAATTGTTTTTAAATTGTATAATGTTCCATAGAATAGCAGCAACATAATTTATCTGACTGTTCTCTCATTGATGAAACTTTAAGTAATTTCCAATTTCTTTCCCCTTACAAATAGTACTTCAACAAATATCCTTGCATAAGTCTCTCTGTATACAGACGCTTTCACTTCTATTGGACAGATTCCCCAATATAGAATTGCTTAAACAGCATGCACATTTTACATTTTAGTAATTGCCAACAGAGTACTTTTCATTTTCCTACCAGTGATGAAAAAGAATGTCACTTTCTCCATATGCCTTCTAGCATTGGTTGTTAACAGTTTTTACATTTTGCCAAAGCTACACTTCATAAAACATTCTTGTGCTTCTTTTCATATGTTTTCTGGCCATTTACATTTCTTCTACTGTTTCAAATTTCACTTTTTATAGCTGGTACCAATTTTAATATTGGGTTCTTGGTTTTTTATCAGTTTATAGAAGTGTTTTGTATATGATCAAGTTGTCTCGTGTGTGTGTGTCTGTGTTTGTGTAAAAAAGTGAAATATGTGTATACTTTTTTCCACATAGAAATTGAAATTTTTATGTAGTAAATTATTCTTTTTTTTTCTTTTTTATTATACTTTATGTTCCAGGATACACGTGCAGGATGTGCAGGTTTGTTACATAGGAATATGTGTGCCATGGTGGTTTGCTGCACCTATCTACCCATCATCTAGGTTTTAAGTCCCACATGCATTAGCTATTTGTCCTGATGTTTTCCCACCCCTCACCCTCTGACTCCTCAACAGGCCCCCATGTGTGATGCTCTCTTCCCTATGTCCATGTGTTGACATTGTTAAATTCTCAATGTGATGAGGAATTTAACAAGTGAAAACATGCTTAGTTTTCTGTTTCTGTGTTAGTTTGTTGAGGATGAGGGCTTCCAGCTTTATCCATGTCCCTAGAAAGGACATAATCTAATTCCTTTTTATGGCTACATAGTATTCCATGGTTAATATATATCATATTTTCTTTATCCAGTCTATCACTGATGGGCATTTGGGTTGGTTCCATGTCTGTGCTATTGTAAATAGTGCTGCAATAAATATATATGAGCATGTGTCTTTAGAGTACAATGGTTTATATTCCTTTGGGTATTTACCCAGTAATGGGATTGCTGGGTCAAATTGTATTTCTGGTTCTCTAGATCCTTAAGGAATCACCATACTGTCTTCCAAAATGGTTGAACTAATTCATATTCCCACTAACAGTGTAAAACTGTTCCTATTTCTTCACAGCCTCATCAGCATCTATTGTTTCTTGACTTTTTAATAATCATCATTCTGACCAGCTTGAGAAAGTCTCATAGTGGTTTTGATTTGCAATTCTCTAATGATCAGTGATGTTGAGCTTCTCTTCATATGTTTGTTGGATGTATCAATGTCTTCTTTTGAGAAATGTGTGTTCATATCATTTGCCTATTCTTTGATTTTGTTTCCTTGTAAATTTGTTTAAGTTCCTTATAGATTCTGTATATTAGCCCTTTGTCAGGTGGGTAGATTGCAAACATTTTCTCTCATTCTGTAGGTTGCCAGGTCACTCTGATGATAGTTTCTTTTGCTGTGCATAAGCTCTTTAGTTTAATTAGATCCCATTTGTCAATTTTAGCTTTTGTTGCAATTGCTTTTGGCATTTTTGTCATTAAATATTTGCCCCTGCCTATGACCTGAATGGTATTACCTATGTTTTCTTCCAGGGTTTTTATAGTTTTGAGCTTTACATTTAGGTCTTGAACTCATTTTGAGTTATTTGTTGTATAAGGTGTAAGAAAGGGTTCCAGTTTCAGTTTTCTGCACATGGCTAGCCAGTTTTCCCATTTGTTAAATAGGTAATCCTTTTCCCATAGCTTGTTTTTGTCAGGTTTGTTTGTTGAAGATCAGGCGGTTATAGATGTGTGGCATTAGTTCTGAGGCCTCTGTTCTGTTCCATTGGTCTATATGTCTGTTTTGATACCAGTAACTTTTTTTTTTTTTTAGGTTACTAGAACCTTGTAGGATAGTTTGAAGTCTGGAGTGTGATGCCTCCAGTTTTGTTCATTTTGCTTAGGACTGTCTTGGCTATACAGGCTCTTTTCTGGTTTTATATGACATTTAAAGTAGTTTTTTTCTAATTCTGTGAAGACTGTCAATGACAGTTTGATGGGGATAGCATTGAATCTACAAATTACTTTGGGCAGTATGGCCATTTCCACATTATTGATTCTTCCTATCCATGAGCATGGAATGTTTTTCCATTTGTTTGTGTTCTCTCTTATTTCCTTGAACAGTGCTTTGTAGTTCTCCCTGAGGAGGCCCTTCAGAGCTCTTGTTAGGTGTATTCCTAGGTATTTTATTTTCTTTATGGCAATTGTGATTGGGAGTTCATCCATCATTTGGCTCCCCGTTTGCCTGTTGTTGGTGTATAGGAATGTTTGTGATTTCTGCACTCGATTTTGTATGCTGAGACTTTGCTGAAATTCCTTATCAGCTTAAGAGATTTTGGGCTGAAAACAATGGGGTTTTCTAAATATAGAATCATGTCATCTGCAGAGACAACTTTCTCTCTTCCTATTTGAATACCATTTATTACTTTCCCTTGCCTGATTGCCTTGGCCAGAACTTCCGACACTATGTTGAACAGGAGTGGTGAAGGAGGGCATCCTTGCCTTGTGACGGTTTTCAAAGGGAATGCTTCCAGCTTTTGCCCATTCAGTATGATGTTGGCTATGGGTTTCTTATAAATAGCTCTTATTATTTTGAGGTATGTTCCATCAATAACTAATTTACTGAGAGTTTTTAACCTGAAGGGCTGTTGAATTTTATTGAAGGCCTTTTCTGCAACTATTGAGATAATCATGTGCTTTTTATCATTGGTTCTGTTTATGTGATGGATTACCTTTATTTATTTGCATATGTTGAACTAGCCTTGCATTCCAGGGATGAAGCATACTTGGCCGTGGTGGATAAGCTTTTCCATGTGCTGCTGGATTTGGCTTGTCAGTATTTCAGTGAGGATTTTCGCATCAATGTTCATCAGGGATATTGGCCTGAAGTTTTCTTTTTTGTGTCTGTCTCCACCTGGTTTTGGTATCAGGATGATGCTGGCCTCATAAAATGAGTTAGGGAGAAGTCCCTCCTTTTCAATTGTTTGGGATAGTTTCAGAAGGAATAGTGCCAGCTCCTCTTTGTATGTCTGGTAGAATTTGGCTGTAAATCCATCCGGTCCTGGGGTTTTTTTGGTTGATAGACTATTAATTACTGCCTCAATTTCAGAACTTGTTATTGGTGTATTCAGGGCTTCAACTTCTTCCTGGTTTAATCTTAGGTGTATGTGTCCAGGAATTTATCCTTTTCTTCTAGATTTTCTAGTTTATTTGTGTAGAGGTGTTTACAGCATTCTCTGATGGTAGTTTGTATTTCTCTGGGGTCAGTGGTGATATCCCATTTATCATTTGTTATTGTGTCTATTGATTCTTCTCTTTTCTTCTTTATTATCTAGCTAGTGGTCTATTTTGTTAATTTTTCAAAAAAAAATCTCTTGGATTCATTCATATTTTGAAGGGTTTTTCATGTCTCTATCTCCTTGAGTTCTGCTCTGATATTAGTTATTTCTTGTCTTCTGTTACGTTTTTAATTTGTTTGCTCTTGCTTCTCTAGTTCCTTTAATTGCAATGTTAGGGTGTCAATTTGAGATCTTTCTAGCTTTCTGATGTGAGCATTTAGTGCTATAAGTTTCTCTCTTAACACTGCTTTAGTTATATCCCAAGATTCTGGTACATTGTCTCTTTGATCTCATTGGTTTTAAAAAACTTTTTGATTTCTGCCTTAATTTTATTATTTACTCAGGAGTCATTCAAGAGCAGGTTGTCTAAT